CAGAGAAAAAAAGAAAAATTTTTTGAAATAAAAAGTTTTTTTTAACATCAAATTTAAATCAATCTTTCTCACTTTCTTACCTCCTTTAACGGTCTTGTTTAATTTGTTCTTGAAATTTGCTAAGTTTATTTTTCTTGAAGAAATATCTTCGTTTGATCTCTGAATCATCACTGAAGGCAAAAATCAATCGACAAATTACAATTTCTTTTTATAACTCGCTTTTTTTCTTTTGTAATATGAGAAGTTTTCAATATTCCTCCACTTAGGTTAGTACAATATCAAAGTACTGCTTTTTTTTTTATTAAATAATCCATTTTAAAAAAGATGTAAATAATGTCTATGAAGTTTATAAAGAATAAAACTTTTTACATTCCTAAGTAAGCAATCTTTCGGATTGAAATTCGATTCACAGTTACATTGATTCTGCAACTTAAATCCATCAAACTTATCATTAACTATTTAAATAAGAGATAGAAAATTTTTGACATACTAAATTTCATTTCATATTTTAAATATACTGCAATATGCATTCAGAACATTGAAAGATTCTTTTTTTTTTCAATATTTCTCATTCTTGTCGATCATATAGTGATTAATATCATATCTATGGACGGCTTAATTACTAAAGAAATTATCACCAAAAAAATAAATGATAAAAATGAATCCAGCAAAATAATTGTTATAATTAAGGAGCGCATTGTTATGATTAATTGATTCATTGCTTCTCATATACTCATAATCAACAATTTACAAATTTTTTTTTTTTTTATTCTAAGCCACTTTTATCTCAATAACGCATTGTACTTTACAAAAATCCACTTTGTAAAATCAACTAATTTATTGATGAGTCACATCAAAACATCAATAACAACTTTTGTTTTTGCTAAGAAAAATAGCCCATTGCTAATGACTTTTGTTGAGAAAATTTTTGAGGAAACTTGTAGTTTAAATATGCTTTTATTGTTTAAAATGTATTGGTACGCTATTTCAAGCATCCTTTACAAACTTTTCTCGTTTTTTGTTTTTTCATGTGAATTTATCAAAACCATATATTTCAATTTAATTTTATGGTTGATTAAATGATTGCATGTGGAAAAACTACTATATTTATTAACTCTTATCATCCATTTCCTCCTTCTTTGCTTTCTTTGACAATGTGAAAATTTTTTTATTTCTATTTTATTGAAATAAAATTTTTTTTGCTTTTGTCAAAAAAATTCAATCGAAATTTTCACTTTTGCCAAGTATATTTTTACAAACAAAATGATAAATAAAAGTAAATAATGAAAAATATTACAAAAAAGAATGCATTAAAAAAATAAAGATATTTATTCAATTATTTCACTTTACTTTTTTCAAATACTTCCCCGAATTTCATTTTCCCGGAATTTTTAATTGTTTGTTTTTTAACCGACAATATCGTAATAACAAAAACATTGAGGGATAAACATCGAAGAACGAAGCTTGGATAGATGGATATGTGTATTCTTCTGTGTTTCTTATTTTTCAAAAAGTTGAACTGCGTGTACGTGTGTATGTGTGTGTGTGTATGTGTATGTGTATGTGTATGTGTATGTGTATGTATCAGTATGTATTTCAATCATTCAGAAAATATTTACGAAATTTATCATTTTATATGTTCAGTTATTTCGCTTTATTTTTCTTAAATACCTTCCCTGAACTTTTAACTGTTTCTTTTTTAACCAGCAACATTAGAATAACAAAAACATTGAGAGATAGACATCGAGAAAAGATGCAGTATGCTTGGAGATGGATATGTGTATGTTTGTATGTTCTGTTTTATTTTTCAAAAAGTTGAACTCGATGTATGTGTGTGTGTGTGTGTGCACATTTTAACAATAAAGCTATGCAGCTTTTTAGCTTTTTCCTAGGAAAAGAGTAGTGTAGATGGTTGATTATTGACAAAATAACATGTGATCAGGTTAAAATTTAATTTAAAATCTCAAAATTTCAGTGATTCGATAGCTAACACACAGTATTGCTTATAATTCAATTTCAAGCAGAATGGCTGATCTTGCTGCAAAATTCGCAGAAAATGAAATTACGCCTAATATTATCGCAAATCCACCAGCAAAATTACTCAATGTAAGCTATTTCAGATTTTTTTCCCCATTAATTTATTCCAAAAATGCTTTTCCGATAGTTATAGCATTTAAATCTATTCGTTTTCATTTCTACTAAAAAAGAGAAATCTATGACAAATTTTTTGTAATCTTCACTTAATGGAAATATTGATTCGTTTCAAATTTTGGTAAATCCTCAAAAGTGTTTTTTCGCTGAAGAAATTATCTGAATGTTAAATGTTTTTTTTTTCTTAATTTTTATCAATGAATAATTGAAATTTCATGATTTTTGATTGTTTTTGTAAATTCACTCCAATTTTTATTATAATTTGTTAAATTTCAAAAAATGTTTTTTTCGTTCGTATGTTATTCTTTTCCTTTCTCTCTCTCCTTTAAAAGGGCAAAATTGGTGACAATGAATGGAGTAATTCGTTTTATATAATATCATACTATTGTCAAGCTTTAATAAAGACCATACATTTTTGTTGCTTAATTAATTGCTTACATGACGAATACTCAATTTTAACATAAATATTATAAAATTAGAAATTAGAATTCAAGTCGAATGCATTTACAATCTTTATTGATATTAATGTTTTATCCCTTTAATTACAATCAGTCTATTACAAATAACTTGTTTTTTTTTCCAATAGACTGCATTTTGCTCCTTTCAAAAGCACACATCTTTATGTTTTCTCAAAAAAAAAATCTTAAAGTATTTTTTTTATACATAAGCAAGTTTTATTTACTTAGATTGTTAGGTAATAGTTAGAAAAATATTTGGTAACCTTTACATAGGGTTTGTTATGTGTCATTGAATTTTACAAGGTTATTAATTTCTTTTATAGTAGAAAAATACAGTCTATTTTATTCTCATTTTTTATAAATAAGCAGAATACATCGATGAAAAATCACTTCGAAGATTTAAGATTGATGAAAGTAGTCATTTTTATTGAGAGAGATACACTGATAAGATAACACTATCTATGTTGTATGATTGATGGATGTTAGTCAAACTAAAATGAACTATGAGAAAATTAATTCAAATTTAAATCCTAGTCAATATTGCCTTTATTTGCATTGCAACTGGAATGGTATACAAGTGCAACCCGGTCAAACGATGTCACCACGGAACCTTCGTTTTGCACCACGTGTTACATTGGATGTTGATCCGGAATCGACATTTTCCATGATCATGATCGGTTTGACCTTGCTTTTCATATACTCCAAGAATTTTCATTTCAAGCAATTTTATAGCATTCAAATTTGTGCCTCATTAATAAGTATTAATGAGATCCAAAATATTTGGTTACAGACCGAATTTCTTGTTTAGTTTTGCTATTTTGCCTTTACCAAATATATATTCTTTAGAGGATAAAAGTTTTTAAATTTCAATTATCACTCTGGATTAAAAAAAAATTTTAAATCAATAAGTCAAAAAACTTCAGATCCCGATAATCTATCACGGAAGAATCCATCCGTAGCCGAATGGCTTCATTGGCTGGTTTGTTTTCATTAGCTAAATAATTGCACTGCGCGATTTTATTTCCAAAAGGCTGTTGGATGTATTCATTTTTGCGAATTTGACTTGCATTCCCTCTTGATCTTGGAATGATTAGTCAAAGTTCAATTGATTTAAAATGTGAATTCCGGAATGATAAACTTGACAGGAAATTTCAAAAAAATTGAACACTTCATTTGAAGAAAATACTCCACCAAAAACTTGAAATAAAATCCACTGAAGCATCTTTTATATTTTAGGTGGTGAATATCCCCGCAAGCAATATTCAGGAAGGCATTAATGGAGGTTAATTTATATTACTCAGTTTGAAATGATTTCTGTTGATGTCACTTGTTCCAAAAAAATAATTTGATCATTTAGGACAACATCAGATGGCGTATGGAAGTCCTGCACCACAACCTCGAACCGATTTACACCGCTACATAATTCTCCTCTATGAACACCAAGGACGACGAATACAGGTACCAAAAATCAACAGCAGGGCCAAATTCAACACGAAGCAATTTGTTGAAAAACACAACTTAGGTATGATTCTAGAATCGATCTCTGGAAAAAAAAACTGTCGAGATAGAATGAACGAATGCAAAGAGCCACTGCAGTTTACATTAGTTCCACAGAAAACACTCCACCGAAAACTTGAAAAATTCATTTATCGTTAAGCAATGTTCTGTTTCCACATTCCAGGTGATCCAATTGCCGGCAACTTTTTCCTGGCGCAAAATGAAGGTTAAATAAGCAAATCAGCGATGAAATGTCTTTACATATTTGAAGATCTAGTGTTTCAATGTACAAAGAGAGGTCATATATGTACAATTCAATTAAATCACTTTAGAAAAATAAGTCTATAAGCGATGCTTTTCATTTCCAGCAATCTAAATGATCCTCATCTATTGCTGGCCAAGAAAAAAAAATTTTTATCTTCAATAAATTTACTTCAATAAATAACATAAATTTACACAATCTGTTAAATTATTAAACTGCAACAAAACAAGAATAAATCCTATTTACAATACGATTTTTGGTAGCAGAAAATAAATTATGTATGATTCTGACTTTGGATTGCATACAGCCATGCTTTTTCAAAGACATTTGTAAAGAAAAATTAAAAAGATCAGATAAAGAATGGCATAAATGTTATACTTAGTTTCGAAGAAAAATTGCTACTGAGACGATAATTAAAGAAGTTTTCTATTCAAAAATACCTCTCAAATTTGAAAATTAAAAACTCAGTAAATTCTTTTTTATTAACGAAATTGCGCAACGACAACTGAAAACTACGTTGACCGCTTAAACTCAGAAACGAGATTTTGAAACAAATCCAAAATTATTCATGTTAATTGATCATCATCATACGAAAGGATTGGCAATCTGCTCGATGCCATCGTTCGGTGCAACAACTGTTATTGCAGTTCCTCGAGCAACAATCAAACCTAATTGCCTTGTTTCCTTGAAATAAGGGTCAAATTATTTTAAAAACTGTCATCACTAACTGAAAAATTAGGAAGCAACCATTGAATGTTATTTAATTATTGTGTAAAAGCTGTATTCAATCCAATAATCGTCATGAAAATTTGAGCAGTGCAGAAGGAGAACCAGTGAGGTACGAAACTGCAACTAACTTCTGTCACTTTCTGCGGGTCCTCCGTGTCTCGCACGTATTCCACAGCATTGTCTAGTACCAAATTGATTAAAGCATCATAACCTTTCAGTATCCCCGACGCTATAATGAAACTCCGTAAATTAATAAACATAATCTCGGTAAAGAGCACTAAAATCAAAATATAGCAGAAAAAAAACAATATCAGAAAGGTTTCATAATACTGAGATAAAAAAGTGAATAAATGTAATTAATTACAATAAATCTTCATATCACGAAACCTCAGATAGATCATACATATTGCCAGGCTCTACAAAAAGAATACGATGAGCATTGAAAACAAAGTACAACATCAAGTTAAAGATAGGAAAAAGTATTTAAACAGCAACCTTCTCGACCTCCTTGAAATTTTACGCGTACTTTCTTATCAATAAATCGTGATAAATCAACGATCGATTCCTTCTTCCTTCTTGCAGTCTCATCTTTTTCCTATAGATAAAATTCATTAGAACGATAAAAAGTAAAATTTTATGCGAGCTAATTGAAAGCTGGAGATTGCGCAATGTGTTTCTGGAATGTTAATTATGCTGTGTTTGGTATGTCACATAATTTTTTGTATTTATCTGTACTGGATAATTCACTAGATAGTTCAAGGAAATTAAAAAGGCTCACAAATGCAAAGTGAATTAAAAATGAATAGAGAATAATGAACCGAAATCCTAACTACACTGCTTTAACTCGTAGACTTATGCTCGAACTTAACAGAAACTTCATGTTACAGGTTTACTTTCAAGTATAGCAAATCAACATCAATGCTCAGCACATCGTGTATAACGCTTTTTTTTCGATGAGATTTGATAAAAATCACTTACTGGCATCGTAGTATCTCAAATGTGATTTACTGTACTATACTCTTGATAGCCTTCGACGACTGAGAAATAAATAAGCTTGAACTGCAATAATAGTGATAATGTTCGATTAAAAATGAAGTACTCGAAAAGGAAGCGTAAATATGTACGAGCATAATACGGAATCCGTCAAAATGACACAAATCTAATAAATTTTATAAGTGATCTAAATTAAAAATAAAAACCATTGAAATCATTGAAAATATATACATATTTGAAATAATTAACTAGCTAAACTGATCAATTCCATGTCATTGATATACGTGCACTTGACCACTATTAATGTACATCTGACCAAATACAATGACCTAACGAAGCGATCAGGTCATATGAACTGCAATACATTACATAACACATATATCAATAAAAAGATCACCTGAAAAATCCTCGTGTTACAATTAATTAAAGCTCATTAAAGTGGTTCTGATTCGATTTGCTAAAAGGAATTAACGATAAGCTAAAACGGAGATGGGTGACATGGGAAGTTTCTTCCTGATCCAGCCGGAAATCGTGCTTCACCCCGGATTCTTTTATATAGTTTTCATTGAATTATCGATTCTTTCCTGGTTCGCATCTCTTTTCGCGTGTGTATGAGCAACCGAATGCGCAACAGAAAAGTTTCAAAGTGATATCTTTTACAGTGACATAAATATATCATCCTAGAAAATTTGCATATTTTCGTCTCGATGTTCTCCTCCGAGTTTACTTCATTTGCCCGGTTGCGTTCTTACGGTTCGGTCATGAGTTGTGGTGTTCTCTGTGTTCGATTAAGGATGGCATCTCATGTGTTTTTGTGACGTTTATTTGAACATTGTTTAAGGAAATTTTAAGTGTTAACTCCGCGTGAATTCGAACAACAATCCATGTTTACTTTGGCATCACAATCAACAATTTTTTTTAATGTTCACTAAAGGTCACACGATGATTAGGCCAGTTTTACTTTAATTGTTTCGACAAAAGACAAAAAAACTTTCAGATTCCTCCTAAAAAAGAGGAATCTGAAAGTTTTTTTTAAGGAGTAAAAAGTTTTTTTAGGAAGGTCAAAATCACAGGATGTTGCTGCGAATTGTTTAAGTTATATTACTCTGATATTGTTTATTACCACTATTCTAGAAGGATATAAATTTTTAGGTTCCATGAGCTGATACAATTATATATCTTGGTGAAGATTTTATCGGTAATTGTATAAAATTTAAATAGTTCATTTGATATATGTAATGAAAGAATAGTCATTAAGAAATAATGTGATTAGACAACAACATGAGGGTTCCAAATTCCATGATGCACTCCAATACAATTTCATGAATTTCACTGAAAATAACCTCTTTTTCTCGTTCTTTCTCTTTATATCACTGTTACCTGTTTTCTTGGACCTGAATAACCTCCCATCACTTTTCCATAAATTAAGGATTCTCAACGAGAGTATACAGGATAGTGACAAGAAGACCTTTTGACCCGTGGTTTATTCTACGTGGAATATGGAAGAGATATTGCAATACTTCTTCCACATTCTACACATTTTAAATTGTGCTTTATCTGTTTAATTTTTTCATAAAAATGGATCTTTTCTTGCGTCGTCTTCTGTAATTTTAGAATAATTGTTCATAATGGATAATTTACGGTTTGTTTTTCATTCAGCTCTGTTTTTGCCGATGTGACTTTTCAATTTTTATGATTACACTTGATTTTTCCGATTTTTTAATCCTTTTCATAAATTTGGCAGTTCTTTTCTCATTTGAAATGGCAATTTTCTATGAGAAGTGTTTGTGAATGTTACATTTTCTCAAAAAATCCCTGCCGATCGACGCTTTGAAAATCTTAATTTAAATTCGTTTGAAGTTGAGAAAATGCTTTAGCATTAAAAAAAGGAAATCCCACCAAAGATACTAACTTATATAATTCCTTATAATCGAAGTGGAAGTGATGAGATTGAGAAAAGAAATGGTCTGGCATTTACGTGTGCTTGATAATTTGCATATTTTCCTCATCTTATGAAACTCACAGAGCTTCTCTATTCTTTAATACTGGACTGATGCATTTGCTTTGATTTTTCCGACAGTGTTATAGTTCGATAGTTTGCTTTTTTTCCTTTTCTGATGTATTTTCAAACTTGAACTTTATATGACGATTTTCGATGTCAGCATATTTTTAGGTAATGTTTATATGATAGATTTTGAAATCTACGTGATATTATATACCAACTTCTGAACATGCTTAAAAACTATTCCAAATATTACACCGAATTTGAGCGACCACCGTTCGCACCCACATTCTATCCAACGGAAGAAGAATTTGCCGATCCAATCTCATATGTGGCAAAAATTAAACCTGAAGCGGAGAAGTATGGTGTGATAAAAGTCAGACCTCCTCCTGTAAGTTTCTTTTGATTTTGTCGAAAGATTAGAAGCTGATGAGGTGTCAGCCATTAGATTATTCTGTTTACTTTTACAGCTATTTGAGATGATAATGCTATAAATATCTTGACTTTTAGAAATATTACCATCTGCTGTTGTTTGATTCTTTGAGAATTTGTCTCGACATGATTTGATACTTTCTCATAATTGTTATCCCTTTATCCCAGTAAAGTTTCCAAAGTAGATTTCTTGGGGAGAATTCTTATGACAAACTTTTTGCTTAGTGGAAAATATGGTCTTGCTTCAATTATGTTTTAATTTGCTTATATTTCTGAGAATGTAGTAATTTGGCATAAAATAAACAATACACAATTATTAGAAAAGCTATATTCTGTGGAATAGCTTCAGAGAATAGTTGTTTTGCCATAGTTCGCGTTGGTCATAGCCATATTGCTCTGGCTTTGTGATCTGCTGGTACACATTTGTCCAGTTTTAGAGATTCCTTACAAATCAGTCTCTTTCAAATGGAAAATGGATGGAATTGAATATCCAAGCAATTCTTTTCTGCAAAAATTCTTCATTACTTTATATTAGTTTAGTTTTTTTTAGTCGTTTCGACCACCTTTTGCTATCGATAGTGAGAAATTCAATTTCACACCACGCATTCAAAAGCTGAATCAAATTGATGCATTAACACGGGCAAGACTGATATTCGATGCACAGTTGGCCAGTTATTGGCATATGCAAGGACAGAGACTTGAAGTTCCAAATATTGACAACAAATATGTCGATTTTTATGATCTTTATAAGGTTTGTGGTACTTGTAAATGCATCCACTTTTTTCTCAAATTATAAGGAATGCGGAGTATTTTTTAGTGTATTATATTGCTTGTTTATTTATATTAATTGCAAAGACCTCTTTTTAATGAGCAGTAATTTTAAGGTTTTAAATTCTTTCCATTGTTATACATTATGGTTCTGAAATAAATAACCCATATAGTTCTGAAATCAGCATAAATTGTGATATAAAGTTTATTTTCGAAACGGGATTTGCAGATTGTAATGGAAATCGGAGGAGTTGATGCTGTAAACACTCAAAAGCAGTGGGGTTATATAACAAAAAAACTTGGATTCAAACAGCAACGTGCTAATAAAATCAGAGCTCTTTATTTCAAATGGATTGACCTTTTTCAGAAATTTATTAACGTATGATATTGTATTATCTTAAAATCGAAAGAGATTTATTGCATTATTTTTTTTCACCGGTGCAGAGTTTAGGAAGGTCATAAATTCTTCTTTCATACTTTCACCTAGGAATCGAGTCTATGTGAAATACATGTAGCAGTTATTTTACAAATCCAGAAATCTTAGAATTATAACTGGATGCATGATATCATGTCCACATCTTCAATATCATAAAGTCAACGTATGTTATAGAAGTGATTTTGTAACTTCTGTTATTTTATTTTAGGAAAATGGACATGATGAAGAAACTAAAAATGACGGTTGCAGCAGTACAACAGACAATACTGAAAATGGGCAGGCAGATTATGGAAGAAGAATACCTCAGCCTAGAACAAAGTCCATGGCTGGACCTCGTTTTCATGCGAGTAAGTCATTTTCATAGTTCTTTCTTATTGTATAGTTAGTTGCTTTCGGATTAGAAGTTAAATCATTTATGAGAAGTGCATAAGTCAAGTTTTATAGGTGGTGATTAGTAGTACAAAGTTTTACTTTACATCTGTTTCAGTGTAAGTTCCAGGACAATTGGAAGGTTTTTCATGACTTCCGAAATAATTGTGCACTCTATAAGTTTCAGAATATCAAAACTAGGAAGCTTTTTTTACCCTCAGCGACGGATGGAAGACTCAGTAGAAGAGTTGTCTCCAAAAAGGTGGAATTTATTTGTAAAGATCTGGAATGTTTGTCGATCGTTACGGAATAATTTTCCATGGAATTTTATAGCATTTTTTCCAGAGGAGAAGAAGATAAAAACAGCAGATCCAGTGGATGAAGTTTTATGCAAAAAATGCAGAAAAGGTGATGATGAGGAGCATTTATTGATGTGCGAGGATTGCGATTATGCATTGCACATTTATTGTTGTTCACCGACACTGCCAACTGTTCCACGATGTTTGCTTTTTTATTTATAGACAGTATTCAGGAATTCTTTATATTTATTGGTCTAATAAAATAAAAGTAAAGAAAATTATTTCTTTCAGCACTAGTTCTTTCGTTTTTTTCGTGGTAATTTCCAATAACATTATAGCTGAATGGCGTTGCCGTCGATGTTTAATGGCTTCAGTCAAAGAGATTGCAGAAAGCTATGCGTTTCACGATGCACATACCAGCTATAACTTGCTTACATTTGCTAAATATGCAAATGATTGGAAGAAAAACCATTTTCATAGAAATCCGTTGGCAAGTCGTTGCAGTATTCTTTTCGCAAATTAAAACAAATAGTAATGAGATTATATATAGTAGGTAGAGGAGCAGTATACCAATTGCTTTGATATTTTTTTGGCTCTGAACACTTTCTTATTGGTTCCAGGCAGGATTAATTCACATGTTATTCATGGTGATAGAAATAAGTGATAATGACATTATCTTGTTATT